TAAGGGGGAAGGGAATTTTTGTTTTTGGGATGAAAATGGTATGGTAACTCCGCCTGCGTTAACGGGATACGCTGACGGAGCACCAGTGAAGGGTGATAGATGAGAATGAAAACAGGCCAGTTAGCCCATCATGATGAATTCATCAGGAATTAACTATGATAGTTTTCAGGGAGAACCGCGAGGAGGTCGACCTGGTTGGGTATATTGCTAGCAATGGGATTCTCAGTCTCCATTACTAACAATCCCTTTCCCCCATCATATCAGTCGTTAACTGTCCACTGCTGGACAAGCCTCCCCCTGTTGGGAATTTAGCCAGTTGTTGCCACGCTTGGCAGGTGACTTTCTATAAGTAAAAGAACTTATGAAATCGATTGATCAGTTTTTGTGTTTATTCATTACAAACAAACATACCAAAAATAATATATTTTCTCTTTATAATTTTAAAAGTATAGATAGAACAGTCTAACTTATACTAGGTTCGTGTTAGTTCAAACTATCACCACTAGAGAGCGCTGCCGTCTGCGACGGAAGCAGCCGGTAATTCGTTTAAACACGTCAAGCTAACCTATCTGGATAGAGATGCGATTTCATTCAGAGCTATTAGCGGAATATGTAGACGTTTCATTGGTTTAGTTTCAATAGATTCGTCATACTCGTGAACGTTATTTGTGGGGACTGGTCTGCGTAATTTATGATTTATGACTATACAATTTCCCTTTATTAATTAATGTTTTTTTATAGAACATCGAGACATGTATAGTAAGCGATTACCACTGCTCATAATCACCTTGCAACATCAAAGGCATTTCAGGCCAAAAATTGCTCGTCAGCGGAGAATCCATCCTTACCCCATAGAACCAGAATGGTCACGCACAGTACGGCTTCAAAGGAGCGTTCTCCACGAACACTCAGGTTTGGAATGATCTTCCTGCTAAGGCTTTCCCTAGAGACTATGTCAACGAGCTGGTCAGTTAGTCATTTAGTCATTAAGTCCGCCCTGTAGACATATTTTAATGTGTGCAAAAGTATAAATAAATAAATGCGGTAAATTAGTTTTTTTTTATACAACTTAGAATGGCAAACAGGCTGACGGCCCACCTGATGGAAAGTGGTAACCGTCGCCTATAGACTTGAGCAGTACCATGGACATAACAGAGTATACTGTTTCGCCCATGATACCCCCCATGCGTTACCATTCCTGAGGACTCAGGTGTTATTCCTCTGTAAATTAATAATATTCCGCAGTAAATTCACGCCATATCACACCCTTCAAACCGAAACACAGCCATGCAAACACAACTGCTTCACAGTTGAAACACGAATGGGAGAGACGTACCCAAGCAATCGACTTTTGTACAAAGTCTCTCTCTGGTAAATAGTATATATAATTGTATATAGCCTCGATATTTTTTATCGTTTTTGTATTATATCATTTACAAAGTTTCTGCCCTAATATATTCTACGAGTATATATATTTTTATTTCTGCGTGCCGCTAACAACATTGATGTGACCTCGAAGTGTCAAGAGTTACTAGATCACCTTCGCTGTCCACGAGGGCCTCTGATATGGCTTTTTCTTCATTATACGTACCTATAGCATTGACAGCCGTGGGAGACGAGTAATGACCTCCAAACGGCGAGATAATTAGAAAAGGGGTTAGTTAATTAAACTGTCTTTTTGCGGGATAGAATAATTAGTAACTTTCCTTAATGTTCTGCAAATAGGCACTCAGTAACTACTAATAAGTCTTTGTACTCTTACTAACGTATAATTATCTTGTACTGGTTTTTATTCGTGACTTTTACGCGTTACCGCGTGATCGGCGTATATTGGTTAAGCTTGATAAATAGTATCCTATTTCCTTCTCCGTATATATATATATATATATATATATATATATATATATATACATTTTTTTTTCTGGATGAAAATGATGGTCCCTTATATGCCGTAATAGATGAGCCAGCTTGCAATCATATGAATTCATCGAATATAATAATTGTAGTAGGATAAATTTTCATGTATAATTCTCGAAATAAAGTATATGGTAAAACAACGTTTGCCGAGTCGGCTAGTATTTTTATATATTATTAATATTCTCAATAAAGTATAAATAAATAACAAAATATGTAAATTAAAAAGGGTCACTTTTAAATACCTTACGGGTTCTTCTCAGTAGATAAGAATACTCCAAAACTAGCGATGGAATCATAAATAACGACAATTTAAAATAGTTTGTAAACGAGTTAATTTTAATCAACTTGATTTCTGTGAAGAGAAAATAAACCATTCATTCATTCATAAATAATAACATTAATACATTTTTAATGCTCTCATAAGTAGTTTCTAGCTTACAATTAATTTTATAGTATTCTAAACCTTATTAAAACCAAAAAAGAACCATACTTGTATGCGCTTACACATTTTTGTCGTAGTATCAAAAAGCAATTAGCAGACGGCCAATTTACCGAGAGCTTCAAAGTTGCTCTTCGGCATCCCATTTCGTATGACGAAAACTGGGGTGCGTAGATCTTTATAATCTGGTCGTTCCGCCTGACATATGTTCGCCCTGTGAAGCTGTAGGGAATTGAGTGGCATAAGCCTTTTGGGTTCATTATTGCCCTTTTACCCTTTTCTAAGGGCCCTCCGCTTTGTTTGCTTACGCTCTCATTTCTGTGACGCGAAATTTTGTTTAGTTTGATTTGGCTATATACAAGTATTAAAATATATTGAATAGGCCTACAAAGTTAAGGTCTTTGTATCGAAATAGTTTCGTTATCAAATTACCTTATTAATATTTAAATTAACAGTGTAATAACCAATTAAATAATTAAATATAATTATTGAATTTTTTATGCAACCTAGAATGGCAAACAAGCTGACGGCCCACCTGATGGGAAGTGGTAACCGTCGCCTATAGACATGAGCAGTACCATCGACATGAAAGAGTACATACATACACTCTTTCGCCCATGATACCCCCATTTACATAGAATGCCCCAGCCCTCTCTTTCCCGTAGATATCGTAAGACGCGACTAAGGGAAATTAATGGCTAGACCATTTTTTTTTACAACACAGGCGACATACGAGCATGCGGCTCACCTGATGGTAAGTGACTACCGCCGCCCATGATCACCCACAACACTAACGGCATTGCAGGTGTGCTGCCGGTCTTTTAAAAAGGAATATACTCTTTTCTTGAAGGTTATGTTCTCGTATCGGTTCGGAAATACTGCTGCTGGATGTTGATTCCAAAGAATGGTTGTGCGTGGAAGAAGGTGCCTTGAAAAACGCACGGTGGAAGACCGCCACTCGTTCAGACGATTGGGACGAAACTTTAGTTTGTGGCGGGTTGTACGGTGGCTAGACCATTGGCAGATGAGTTATGATATTATAGAGCAACGCTGCTGTTGAACGCAATATCATATATTTATTTATTTATTCATCAGTACAAATATGTGTACATGGCGGACTTAATGCTAAAAGCATTCTCTCCCAGTCAACCATAGGGAAGTGTCAGAATACACGAATGCGGTACTAGAATTATTGATATACATACATAGTAAAATTACATATATAAACAAATATATATATATAAATAATAAATATACTTACACATATATGACATATACTATATTATACGCGAAATTGAGAATAATATAAAGTACTTATTGCTTGGATAAAGTAAAAAAGTTAGCGTATGTATTCCTCCTAAAACATCACTAAAGCCTAGCTGCGGTTGCCAACCAGCTTGCCAATGTGGCAACTACTGGCAAAACCCTCTAATGGGGAAGGTCTATGTTCAGCAGTGGACAGTTAACGGCTTACGGTGCAACTGAGTTTACATAACTATATAATATAGAGATTGTTAGCAATGCAAACTACCAGTTCTAATGCCGGTAAAATGCCTTATCAGATCGACTTTCGCAGCGTACCCCCTGGTAACCATCTTGGTGAACGTTTTTAAAGTTAGTCACGATGGACTAACTGACCTGCTTTCATCCTCATCTATCATCCCTCACTGGTGCCTACCAGCGTATACCATGTCTTATCTTTCAACAAACTAGAAGATAGCAAACGAGCTACTAAATGACACAGCAGTACCCATTCAGACCTTTTTTCACTAAGTATGTTTCTAGTATTGTTCAAGTAACGACATTTTTTATTTTATTTTAATGCCTCCGGTATCCGGTTACCGATGTTCATAGGCCGGTAACCGCTTATCAAGTGGACCCTATGCTTGTTTGCTACCTCAATGGTTTAAAAAGAAGTCTAAATTCGACTGTATTTATATATTATTATTATTATATATAAATATATATAAGTAATTATATATAGATATGTATAGCTAATTAGATTAATTCGCTTTAGCTTTTAAATACTCGTATATAAAATGAACAGTTACTTAAACCAGAAAACTAGTTACTCCTATACGTTAGTCAATATTTAAAAATATTAGTTAGTATGTATTTAAAATATTCCTAATATAAATTTAATATAGAACATAATGTAGAAGTATTATGAATGATATATATGATTGTTGTTAATGATTTAATATAAATTATTATATATGTATGTGTATGTATGTATATATTTAATTGTGTATATATTATATATGTATGTGTATATATGTATGTATGTATCTATATATGTTTGTATATGATAATATTTATATAATAGTGCGCCACCTGCCCTTTGTCTTTTTATCAATGTCCTCTACCCAAAGGTTGTCTGAAAGAGATTACTTAGCGATAAGGCCGCCTTTTGTATCACTTCTCATTAATATTTACTGTATTTGTTATTTCTCTTTTTACTTGGTGCAATAAAGTGTAAATAAATAAATAAATTATTATTTATGAATTTGGTTATTAGAAGTTTTGTAAGAAAGTAATGTACCTTTTTAAAATAAATATGTGAGTAGATGTGTGCGTGTGTGTACGTGTGTGTGCGAGTGTGTGTGTGTTGTATATTTTATAAAAATTAAAGCTAGACACTTACTTGTACCCTAACTTCTGGCAAGTTGACCTTCATGGCTAACTCTTCTCTGGAGTACACGTCAGGATAATGGCTTTTCTCGAACGCTCTCTCCAATTCGTGTAGCTGATATGTAGTGAAGGTTGTTCTGTTTCTTCTGTGCTTCTTCTTGTCCGCCGCCGACCCTGGTCTGGGAGTGTCGTCGTCGCTCCCGGGGGGAGACTTGTCATCTGGTGGTGTTCTTTGACTGTAACCATCGTTGCTGTTGCAGGAACCTTCACCTGAAATAAGTTTTTTACGTCACACAGTGGTAGCACAGTGTAAGTTATTATTTAAATCTAATAAACTACCCATTTATATATGGGGGATTGTTAGTAATGGGATCAAATAGCTCCATTACTACCAATGTATCCTATCAGGTCGACCTTCACGTGGTTCCCCCTGGAAACCATCGTGGTTAATTCTAGTTGAATTCGTCAAGATGAGCTAACTGACCTGCTTTCATCCTCATCTGTCATCTCTCATTGGTACCCTGCCAGTGTATATGTGTAGTGTACATGCCGATAGCGCAGGCGGGGTTACCACACCATTATCACCCATTACAAAAAAAGCCTTTTATATAGGCTGTAAGCATTTAGAAGTTATAATCGAATAAAGAAACATTATAATCCTGAAAACGTAACTTTCCCTCTTTGGACAGTTGCGTAAATAATTAAAGATTGTGTTCCACAAAAAAAAAAAACCGACTTAAATTGTGACCAAAACCAGTTATTTTGATTTAACATCTAAACTACTAAACCGATATTGATAAAATTTCTATGGAATCAAGCTGCAAGTATATTCTTTCAGATAAAAGAAGAATTTTTCAAATCGGTTTACAACTGACGAAGTTATGAGGTAACAAACATTGAGATACTCCTTCTTTTTGAAGTCTTTCCAAAAAAGGCATTTTTGCTGTAAACAAAAATGTTGAACAGCTTCTTGTAAATGTATGTAATTATAATAACATATTAAGTGTTACAAAACACGAATATTCCGGTTCGTTTTACAATTACACACCGCCATAAACGGAATTTATATCACTAACAGACAGACAGCAATTATCCGCGAACATGGAAACGTGAACAATAAATCAAACAGTGCGCAATTTGTGTGTTTGTTTATGCTAATACAACTGGAGTATGCTTGGCGCGAACGTGTTTTGGATAATGTAATTATATTCAAATCTAGCAGTGTTGCGCACAGTGGTGAGATCGGGTACAAATATTGGACAAAATAATAAAACAATATTAAAAAAAAAATTAAATAAGGTATGAAGGTCGTCGATGCGAAATTTTGTCTGGCGTGTAACTAGTAAAAATAGTATTTCTTGTATTTTTTTTTTTAATTTCTTTCTACTGTTTACTTAGATTATTTAAAACACTCGTGTTTTCTAGATTCATCGGTTTTGGCTGCGTGTTCTCGGTTATTTAGGAACTTATCTAAATTGAGATTTTATAAGTAAATTATATAATGTTGTTTACAATGTATATATTATTTTATAAACATATATATATATATATATATCCGTTAGTATTCTACGACTATGACGATATATTTATGTACCAATTTAGCCGCATATTGTGCACGGTGGTATGGATTTTATTTGGATAAAAAAAGATGTCTCTAGATTTTGTTTTAAAAATAATCAAATAAAATCTTTACAATATTAATATATAATTAACACGATAGTTAATAATCATCAATATCGGATTATAATTGATCGTCATTTAATAGAACCAAATTTACTCTTTAATTATATACAAATTCGCATTACTTTATATAAGATATACCTAATAATAAAGATTAATAAAATAAATGTTTTATTGCATGTACATGATACAGTGGGAGTGAAAAGCAGTCCATTTCATGTAATAACTATTGTATGTGGATAATTGGATCATAGATCATCCCATATCGCACGATCAACTAACGTCGGACTTCCTCGCCTATCATTTCACCGCTTTCCGTTTCTTTTTTGTTTGTAGATGTAAAATAAATTAGGTTATAACGAATTATTATTCTTAAAACTTACGTAATTTTTATACATCTATATGCACGTTGTCCAACATAGTATAGTGACTGGTAAAATATCTGCTAAATGCTATTTTAGTACTGCACATACTGGGTTAATGTATGACACCACCATTTCTATTTTTCTTTCTTGTTATTGAGTACATAAGATGTCTTTTATTTAAATATTAATAATAGTCTGTTGTAAATACTTTTTACCAGCTTTTACCCACGAGTTCATCCACATAATCGAGGTAGTTTCCCAGATCAGGATAAATAGAGAGAGACTTTGTACAAAAGTCGTTTGCTTGGGTACCTCTGTTCCATTCGTGTTTCTACCGTGAAGCAGTTGTGTTTGCATGGCTGTGTTTCGGTTTGAAGGGTGGAATATGGCGTAAATTTACAGGGTACAAAGGAATAACAGGAGTCCTCAGGAATGGCAACGCATGGGGGGTATCATGGACGAAACAGTATACTCTGTTATGTCCATGGTACTGCTCATGTTTATAGGCGACGGTTACCAATTTCCATCAGGTGGGGCGTTAGCTTGTTTGCCATTCTAAGTTGTATAAAAAAAGAATAGAAGTCTATATCCTTCTTCATTCCACATTTTAGATGTACATATATAAAATTTTATAACGATTGGTTAAATCGCTAAGACGTTGCAACCAAACAAATCAACTCACCTTCGCTTTTATAGTACATCGCTTGCCTAGCACAGTTGTAGTAGGCTATTAATTCACATTCTCTTAATACAAAATTGTGCCCATAATTGGAATATCTTCTAACAGGTAGCTTATATTATAATTTAACAAATAAGATAACTTATATGCTGATTCAGGAGGACAAAGTCACGGGAAAAAGTGCCCAATTATGGGCACAATTTTGTATTAAGAGAATGTGATCTCTTAATACAAAATTGTGCCCATAATTGGAATATCTTACTAACATTAAAGATGTGAATATTTATAAAAACTATGGCATGTTTCTTATTCGAATATCTGAATCAATGTAAATGAAATCAGTTACACAGGTAGCTTATATCATAATTTAACAAAAAATATAACTTATATGCTGATTCAGGAGAACGAAGCCACGGGGAATAGATAGTTATAATAATAATATAATGCTAGGAAAAAAGTTTAACACATAAAGATATTAAATAGACTGACATATATAATATATATTCTATATTGCACTTGTAAGTTACATATAAAATAATGTATTTATAAATGTTGTGTGCAAGGGTGGACTTATCTCTGACAGAGATCTCTTTCAGTCAACCCAGTACAGTGAGAAAGCATTTCGTTAGCGGGCAGCTGAAGTGCTACAACTATTAATACATAAACAAATATACAGTTAAATAAAATATTAAAATATATAATAAAATATTACATAAATATATACACTATAAATACATACAATACCATACATAATACTAGGAAAAAAATTTAAGACATAAGGGTATTAGAATATTCCAGTCTCTAGTTACGTTAATGTAACGAATTGTAAATCAATCATATAGCATATACTTAAAAAAAAACACTGAATCATACTGTATAGCTTAGCAAAAATTGCATAAGAAATTTCACAAGTAACATTAATGCGTGCGAACGGAAACCCAAGGGGCTAATTGTTTGCGGAAACTCCGCATTTATCAGGTTCATTATTTTGTCCACGCCGCGTGATTGATTGAACCACTATGCAAATGTAAAATAGTATGTTAATAGATATGCAATATAATAATAGCTAGTGTTAAAAATAGCAAGTTTTTTTTTTTAATTTTTGGTCATTCTCTTTTTTTTTGTTTCTTTTTTCCTCCTTAAGCCAAAGGTTGTCTGGAAGAGGTCGCTTTGGCGATAAGACCATTTTTTGTAGTTCACAAGTAAAACATATTTTTATTTTATTATATTATTCTTTAAGTGGTGCAGTAAAGAAAAAATTATTTTTATTATAAAGTTGTCTTATCTGTAAGAAAAATTATTGTACTAATAAGAAATCATCTAGCTTTTCCTCATTTATTTCGGGTCGGTGCAGAATGCCTTCTTCTTCTATAAGTCCCCGTCCACTGCCATTTCCGAGCTTACTTCTCTTTAAAGCATACCATCTTTTACACAGTCTGTCTACCTTTTCTTTGGTCGTCCGCTTCCTTTACATCCATCCATTTTCATATTTAACACTTTCTTTAATACATGACTTTTATTTCTGTAGATGATATAACCATACCAAGACAATCTATTACATCGTAACTTCTCCGTTCCTGAGGGCTTGCCATGAAATGTTTCCAGAAATTTCGGGACAGAATGAAATACAAAATTATTGTTAAAATTATATGATACATATCGTTTTAATGAATGAATGAATAATAACTTTATTTGCTTACTAACTAGCTTTACTAGCTACTACTTAGGTAAAAATTTGAAATGTTTTTTTTTTATACCACTGAGGTGGCAAACAAGCATACGGCCCACCTGATGGTAAGTGGTTACCGTAGCCTATGAACACCTGTAATACCAGAGGTATTACGCGTGCGTTGCCGACCCTGAAGAAACCTCTTTACCCCCCTTTTGAAGAACCCCATGCTGTAGTCTGTTGGGAAAATGTAACCAACAATAGTTAATTAAAATAAAGAACTAAATAACTCATTTTTCGAGTTCAGTTGTATTTTATTGTCACTGTGACAAATTACATAGAGATCACTGTCAATTATTATTTATGAAAGAAAGAAAGAAAGAAAAAAAACTTTATTTTACAAGAAATATGCGACGGCACCCACACAGGGGTTAAAAAAAATCCATATATTAAGAATTATAATAAAGAAATTATGTTATCTTAATTTAGATATTTAAAAATATTTCTCAGAAAAAATATCTCCTATTCATGAATTAAACAAACAACTGAAGAAATATTTTATTTAAAAGACGATTATTTCGAAAATATAACAATTTTATATTTTTTTTGCCTACACCAATGATGTGACTATTAAGTTTCCTTAGTCGCCTCTTACGACACCTGCTGGAAAGGAAGAAGAGGCCCATTCTATGCCGGGACCACATGATGTTGACTCATGAGGTTGATTCATGTCGATCATGCTTTATATATAACTTTAGTTCATATTAAAAACAATTTGTAAATAATCATTCAAAAACGCCGAAAACTTTATTATGCAATTGTTTTAAAAAAATACAGATAATACATTCTCTAAAAAAATTAAAAGGCAGCTTCAGAT